TTTTTCTTTTTGCTGAGGAAGACGGCCCTGGGCTAACATCTGTGCCCATCTTCCTCCACTTTATATGGGACGCCGCCACAGCATGGCTTGCCAAGCAGTGCGTCGGTGTGCGCCGGGGATCCGAACCAGCGAACCCCGGGCCGCCGCAGCTGAGCGCGCGCACTTAACCGCTTGCGCCACCGGGCCGGCCCCCACTTTTTAATTGAGTTGTTTTTATGAGTTGTAAATTTTCTTTATATATTCTGAATACAAGCTCCCTATCAGATATATGATTTGCAAATATTTTCTCCTATTCTGTAAGTTGTCTTTCACTTTTTTGCTGATGTCCTTTTTCAATTTTTTTTTTTTTTAAGATCAATCAAGAAGGATTTTTTTGTTTGTTTGCTAGGAAAGATTCACCCTGAGCTAACATCTGTTGCCAATCTTCCTCTTTTTTTTTTTTTCCTCCCCAAAGCCCCAGTACATAGTTGTATATTCTAGTTGTAAGTCCTTCTAGTTCTTCTATGTGAACCACCGCCACAGCACGGCTGCTGACAGACGAGTGGTGTGGTTCGGTGCCCAGGAACTGAACCTGGGCTGCCAAAGCAGAGCATCCCGAACTTTAACCACTAGGGCATCAGGGCTGGCTTGTCCTTTTTTAATTCTGATGAAGTCCAATTTATCTACTTATTTTACTGTGCTTGCTTATGCATTTGATGTCTTATCTAAAAAACTATTTCCTACTCCAAGGTCACAAAGATTTACTCCTATGTTTTTTCCTAAGAGTTTTATAGTTTTCGCTTTTACATTTAGGCATTTGATCCACTTTGAATTAATTTTTGTGTATGGTGTGAGGTAGGTGTCCAACTTCATTCTTTTGCTTGTGGACATCTACTTATCACCCACTAGTTATGGTGTTCTCACTCTGTGCCAGGTACTATTCTGGATTCTGGGGACATAGAGATAAGTAGAACATAGCTATTGCTCCTCAAGGAGCTTACTATCATAGTGGGGCGACCACATATAAATAGAGAACAATAACACAGTGAAATAATGTGTATATGGTGCCCAGCACTGTGCCTGGTCCCTAGAGTGTGTATAGCAACTGGTAGCTGCTATAATAATAATAATAATAATAATAATAGTAATAATAGCTGTTATTATTGTAAATGCCAATAGAGAGGGATGTACATTGCTGTGGCAGGAGGAAGTGACTCACTTTTCCATGTCTCAAGATTGGCTTTACTTGGGGCCACTCCAACACCTCTGGGGCCCAGGAAGAGGAGGGGTACAAGGAGATAGGTTTCTTAAAGGCCAACCTTTTTGAGAGAGGAAGGACCTAAGGTATGTGTGTCATGGGAACAGCAGTTTTCTTTCCCTGAGTGTCAGCTCAGAACAGGATTATGTGATTGCTGATTCCTGTTCCTGTCTGTACCCAAGAAAGAATGACTTCCTTCATTTGTTTGTAGATCTCTACAGGCACTTGAGGGAATCTTAAGGGCTGATTGTGAATTATAAAATGTTTCTAAATAGATTACATAAGTGCATTGTCTTGAATATTATGTAATTAGGACTTAAAATCAGTGTTTACTGGTAATCACATAGTGTGTCCTCAAATTGAACTTATGAAGTATAAACCAATGGTAGATTTTCACATGGAAGTTATGGTACTCTTTGTAAAACATCATAAAATATCAATTTATTTAATCCTATCTTATGATCTAACATCTTAGTGGTGGGAAGTACGGCTGTATTATATATATTCTGGGCTCCACACTGCAAAAATTATCCAATTATAGAAAACAATTTTAAGAAATTGCTTTTCCAAGTTTTCCCGTCATACTAGGCATTTGTTATCTGCTAGCACATCTTAGCAGAAAAGTGAGAATGGGTACCATAAATTTAAGAACAATGTGTTGAAAAAAAAAACTTTAAATTGAGCACATTCTAACAATTAACATAATCTAATTTGAGCTACAAAACACTTTAGTCCAGTTGGGTAGGATGCAGTTGTTTCAAAGAAGGATAATTTTAGAACCACTGACACAGAGTTTAAATTTTAATTTAAACACATTGTATTTTATCAAAAAATAAAGGTTTTAGTATCTCATTTTAATATCATTTATTATATCAACTATGGATTTTTATTCAGCCTTAGTTCAGTTCATCAGGCACTTATTGGCTGCGTGTTACATGGAGGGAACCATATCTACGTGTTTGAGCCTTTGTCCTGAAGGAGCTTATGATCTGAGCAAGAAACATGGTCCAGCAGAGGACACACACATTGCTAGTTACAAGAAGCAGCACATTGTGATAAATTCTCTAATGTAGTTATTAAGGGCTTAGAAACAGAGGCAAGGAGAGGTTGGTTCCGATTCAGAATGGGACAGATCTGGGAGAGCTTTCTGGAGGAGCTGGCACCTGAGCTATAACTTGAAGGGCCAGCAGAGGCAGGATGGGAGAAAGAAACACGGTGAGCCAAGACTTAGAAAGTGGGCGTGGAGGAAGTTGAGGAGTGGAGGTAATCTGCACCTGGACTATAGAATGATTAGGGGATGTAGCAGGGCATGCATTTAGAAAGATAGAGAAGAGCCACATTTTGCAGTCTTTTTTTTTTTTTTTTTTTTTTAAAAGTTTTTTTTTTTTTTATTTTTTTCCCCCCAAAGCCCCAGTGGATAGTTGTATGTCATAGCTGCACATCCTTCTAGTTGCTGTATGTGGGACGCGGCCTCAGCATGGCCAGAGAAGCAGCGCGTCGGTGCGAGCCCGGGATCCGAACCCGGGCCACCAGCATCGCAGCGCGCGCACTTAACCACCAAGCCACAGGGCCGGCCCATTTTATAAATATTGCTGTGATATTCTTTTTTTTTTTTTTTTTTTTTAAAGATTTTATTTATTTATTTTTTCCCCCCAAAGCCCCAGTAGATAGTTGTATGTCATAGCTGCACATCCTTCTAGTTGCTGTATGTGGGACGCGGCCTCAGCATGGCCAGAGAAGCAGCGCGTCGGTGCGAGCCCGGGATCCGAACCCGGGTCGCCAGCAGTGGAGCGCACTCACTTAACCACCAAGCCACGGGGCCGGCCCATTTGCAGTCTTGATAATACCAAATTAATGAATCTAGACTTGCTTCTGTGAGCACTAGGAGCCATAGAGGGTTTTTGAGCAAGGCAGTGGCATGATCAGATCCGTGCAAGTAAGTCAAAGGACGGGTTGAAGGTGGAGAAGAAATTAGAGACCATTCTTGAGGGATATACATGCCATCTTTCCAATTTCTTTTCAGGTAAAAATCCCAATGGGTAACTATCTTGTGATTTGAGGTATTTGATGCAGGAGTTCATGTGTTTAAATTTTAATGGTTATTTATGCCTCCTGCAAACTGACTGCTCCTCTTATCTGATATGTTTGTTGATGGCCAAGCAATAGCTTATAAAGAATAACACTGAGAAAGCATGAACTTCCTTTTTTTTTTCGGCAAGAATAGCACATCTGAGTCAGTACTCTCGATTTTCTCCTTAAATGTCTCTTAGCCCAAGAAAGAACCACCCAGATTTGCACTTTAGAAACAGGACCAGGAAATGTGTCTATCAGCAGATGAAAAGAAACCAACGTGAAGCAGGACTGTTAGGGAAGAGTCAGTCCCTAGGTTAGGACTGAACCCAGTTATCTGGGTTTGCAATCCAGCTCTGCCACTTGTGGGCTGTGTAACTTTAGTCATGTTACTTAGCCAATCTGTGCCTCAATTCTTTCATCTGTAAAATGGCCATAATAATAGTACTCGCCTCAGGGTTGTTATGAAGATTAAACGAATCAATACATATAAAGTGCTCCGAATAGCACCTGGCACATAGTTAGAGCTCAATAAATGTTAATTATTATTATTCAGTTGTTAGGCAATAAAAATTAAATAACTGCCAATGACACATTATAGTTTACGAAGCACCTTCATATATGCTCAAGGTTGTTTGAGCTCCACAGTCACCTATGGGTACTGGTTGTCCTCATTACCATTGCTGCTAACAAACCACTCCAAAACTTAGAGACATAAAACAACAACGATTTTATTATGCTCACAGATTCTGTGAGTCAGGAATTCAGAGGAGGTACAGCGGGAATGACTTATCTCTGCTTCACAGTATCTGGAGCCACAGCTGGAGATGACTTGAATGGCTGGGGAGGACTCCAGAGGGTGGTGCTGGATCAGCTGAGATTGTGGATCCGCTGCCAAGAAGGCTTCTTCGCTAACCTGTCTGGTACTTTAGTAGGATGGCTGGAAGGCTGGGCTCAGCTGGTACTGTCGCCTAAGCATCTAAGTGGTCTCTCCACCATGGTGGCCTCAGGGTAGTCATCAGACTTCTTAGAGTGTTTCTGCAGCAGAAGCCACATGCCTTTTATGACCTAGCCTCAGAAGTCACATAGCAGACACTTCCCCCTTCTTTATTGGTCAAAGCAGTCACAAGCCTGCCCAGACTCAAGGGAAGGGACTATAGACCACACCTCTCAATGGGAGGCATATCAAAGAACTTGGGGGCCATGTTTTAAAGTCACCACACTGGTATTAGTCCCTAATTCTAGATGAGAAGATTGAGACTCAGTAGAGGTTAAGTGATTTGCTGAGGGTCAGGTGCATAGATAGTAAGTGGAATAGTTGGGGGCACAGGAGGGAGGAAGCCTGGAGGAGGAGAACAGCTTCAACCCAATCTTCTGACTCCAAATTATTGTTCTTTCAATTAGATTATTCATTATCCTTCAGCTTAGATATATTTGCTATATGTGAAAATTCAAAGAAAACAAATTTAACTGGCTTTGGATGTATTAGGTAACTTTCCTAAAAAGAGACAGAGATGTAAAAGTATAAGGTTTGCATTTGCAAGAGCTTGTACACAAACTTCATATTTTAAGGAGGTCCTGGGATGGGTTCAGTCCCAAGCTTAGTCAGAGAGCAAGTTTGTATAATTTTCTCACAAGGAAAGGTCTCTGAAAGTGTCTCAGATGCTTAACTGCGACTTTATTTGTTTTCTAGGAAAATCTCACCTGGCCATTGTCCAGCGGGTGAATAATGAGGGAGAAGGGGACCCCTTCTATGAGGTGATGGGCATTGTCACGCTGGAGGACATCATAGAGGAGATCATCAAATCGGAGATCCTGGACGAAACTGACCTCTACAGTAAGTGCACAGCCTTGGCTATCATCCAAGGTCATCCTGTTTTCCTCTGAGACTCTCAAAGCTGGCTTAGTTTGATATACAGTATGAAAGGGTGTCAGGGCAAGCCCCATGTATGTGTCGACCACCTGATGCCAGGGCTGGCATGGCCAGATACCCTCACTTGAATCACCCCTGAATCACTGAGAACATGCTAGCTAAATGTTTATCAGGAGGGAGCCTTCAGGAGCTGAGCCAAGACTATGAAAAGGAGACCTCCTGGCCTTTGGATGGAAAAGGAACTAAAGGAAACAAAGTGTACCTCGGATGGTGGCCAGAGGCCACTCCGCCCTTGTTTCTGTCCCCTGTGTTCCTGTTTTGTCTCTTCGCCCACCTAGACTTGGACCCCAGCATCCCCTGGGGTTCCACTCACACTGGAACATCAGTGTGCAATGGAGACTGTCGTGAGGTTGCCCACTTGCAACCTATGCCGAAACTTTAACTATCCCGTCTTAGACACTGCTTTTCTCTCTTATGCTTTTTCAGCCCTGCCGCCTGGTTTCTTGTTCTCCTCCCTTCCCCACCCCTGGCTCCAGTCTCTGCTCCTGTCCCTGCTCCCTTCTTCCTGGTCTCTTCACCCTCCTGCCCACTCCCCCTCAGGAACAATACGGACTCCTCTATGCAGATAGTAACTGCTTTGGGGTACTGAGCCTTATCAGAGCTTTGCTTGCAAACATTGCAAAGGCGTGCTTTGTCTCCTGCTTGTCTCAGTCTCCGGGGTTGGGAGTGTTATCTAAATCCATGGGAGTCCCTAGGCTGGGAAATGTTTCCTCCTCTGAATTTCATCTTATGGGACAGCAATCCCTTTTCCTCCCCTCGGTCTGCTAGAAGCAGCTGTTCAGCAGCTAGAAACTAGCTCCTGGTAGAAAACACTTTGATACTATAAGGCAGTGAGTGGTGCAGAAAGAGTGCGTTCCCCTTGGACTAAGAAGAGATCAAACCTAAAAGGTGGGCCAGACCTTGAGAGAATACAGCAGGAGTGTCACAGTATCTAGTATTGCTGTGGTGCCCTGGCCAGGCTCGTCTTCTTTAAATAGGGATTGACCTCTCCCTCTCCATTCCCTTCTCCACCTCTGCCCACCACTCTTGATTGAGAATTCCCAAGTGTTTCCATAGTTATATTGGTGAAGACATTCACACTAAAGTGTTAGTGGCTGATAGTAGTGATAGTAGTCTAAATGAATGAAGAAGCTCCTCCTAGGGCATTTGTTCTAACAACCTTAATGCTCCAAATACTCAGTATTAAAATAAAAGGAATGAAGAGGAAATCAGAAGAATTATTCTCCAATGATGAAATGTTAAGTGGCATTCTGATGGAGGAAAGAGGGGATATTTAGGCAAACATGTCATGCAAAGCAGAAGGTTGCTCACCAGTGAGAGCAAAAGAATGGGTCCGATACATATATTTGCTGTGCTCTTGCTGAGCGATCCTCTTTCTAAATGAGAGGGTTAGGGTTTTCCCACCCTTATAAATAAGCTTCTGGCATGATTTCTTAAGAGCTCTGAGAAGGCCGAGGAGCCGGGAATACTGTGTTTCTTCCCACTTGACCCTGACCCACAGGAGACCTGGGTCTGGATCTCGCCACTGTTGCGATCTGAGCAAAAGGTGTTAAGCAGGGGCCCAGAGTCCAAGGCAGGCCCACAGGAGAATGGTGTGATGGAAGGGCACTTTCTCTGCTCTAGAAGGAAACCCAAAGGGTGCAGCTGAAGTGAGCTCCAAAAGGAGAAAGAGAGTCCAAGGGAGCCAGATTCTGGGGCCCTGGTTGCCTGTCCCTGGGGTTCATTCCCTTTAATCTCCACTCCGTCCACTCAGCCTGCACTGTCGGTTCCCCGCAGCCCTGTTTTTCTCCAGGCCAAGTTTGGAGAAAACCCAGATCCCTTTCCCTGCTCCCCTTCGCACAGGTGAGCTAGGCTGGAAGTTTCAAAGTTTTACTCAAAACTAAGGGAAAGCAAAAGAGATATGACCAAAGAAAACATTTCCTCTACCCCTAAAAAATACTTTTTATAAGACAAGCTTAAAAAAAGAAGAGAGAGGGGCCGGCCTGGTGGTGTAGTGGTTAAGTTTGGTATGTTCTGCTTTGGCTTCTTTGGTCCGGCAACGTTGGCCCGTTGGCTCGCGGGTTCAGATCCCAGGCGAGGACCTACATCACTCATCAAGCCATGCTGTGGTGGCATCCCACATACAAAATGGAGGAAGAGGGGCACAGATGTTAGCTCAGGGAGATGTTCCTCAGCAAAAAAAAAAAAAAAAAAAAAAAGAGAGAGAGAAAAAAATTAAATTGGAAAAAGCGAATTTTCTCAATCAATAATCACAGGCTTTCTGGATTCTTCTAGGTCCTGCCTGAGACCACTGCCCAGAGAACCTGTCTCTGTAGGTTACAGAGCTGTTCCCATTTCTTCTCCTTTCTTCCCTTTATTTCCTCCAGTTTTCTCCCCATGGAGGGGCTAGGGTTGAAGCAGGGGAATTGTGAGTAGGAAGAGGAGGTGACCACAAGCTCCCTTGGGTGGCATGCCTCCACTGCTCAGAGTGTGGTTTAAATCAGCAGGAAGAGACCAGGTGAGCCCAGCTCCAGGGACAGGAGAGGGACAGAGGCAGAAACCCCTTGATGCTGAGAATGGAAGTCCCTTGTGTCTGAATGCCTTTTTGTGAGCATTTCACAGATGGGTTCTGGTTGGAGTCTCATAATAACTGCACAAGATGAGTAGAAGAGTTATTAGTAATGATTAACCTTATTGTATAGAGTGAAACAAACAAACATGCTTAGAGAGGTTGCACAGCTTGTAAGTAGGGGATCCAGCCCTAGAACCCTGGCCTTGGCGGCCCCACGCCAGCCTTTTCCCTTTTCACTACCCACCACCTAAGTGTAAGTAATCCTGAGACATTATAGCATCTCCCGCCTTCTACCCCTTATCAACATCCTTCCACTCCCTGGGAAAGAGATGTTGTAACATCACCTACAGTTGACACTTTGCAGAAATTCATGTGGTCCCAAAGGACCTATCTGTCCCATGTGACTCTGGGAAGACCTCCAAACCCAACAGTGATTCTGAGATAGCCACAATCTGTCCCCTGTGATCCTGCAGCTGACAATCGGAAAAAGCAGAGGGTCCCACACCGGGAGAGGAAGCGGCACGACTTCTCCTTGTTTAAGCTTTCCGACTCAGAGATGAGGGTGAAGATCTCTCCACAGCTTCTGCTGGCCACACACCGCTTCATGGCCACAGGTATGACTCTGCCCACCTGCGTCTCCACAGCAGGCAGGTAAAGCAGAATCTGGAGGGTGGGACCCAGGCACCAATCATTTTTAATATCTTGCAAGCTAATTCCAGTGTGCAGCCAGGACTGAGAACCGCTGTTCCAGGAGAGGAGGTTGCCTTAGATAGAGCGACAGGATGCCACATATTGTCATTTTCAGCCCCAGGCCTGATCTTCTATGAAGGAACTCTGCCTTTCTCTCTTCTGCTGGAGAAAAGAGCTAAAGAAACCACTGCTGCACTTTTCCTTTCCTCCTCTTGCCTCCTGGCAGGAGACTGAGGCCGACCTCCATCCTGTTGGAGTTGGGGGTGCCCCAGAGGATTTGTGAGGGAGGGAAAGGTGTTGTCTTATCCAGCAACAAGGCCTGGGGGCCCATACCCTGCAGGGACCATATAGGCCTGTGAGCTACGAGTTCTTAAAATACAGAAGTGGATTGTCAGTCTTGGAATCTGTAGAAAGAAAAAAAGGTGAGAGGATCCAAAGATAAACTTCTCTTTCTTATAAAGAAGGTAAAATTTGCCTTTGAACCCCCTAACCTTCTCATCCATGCCTAATTAATGTGCTGACCTCAAATGATCTCACCCATCGTTAAGTTCAATATTTAATTAATCCAACAAATATTTATTGAGTGTATAATGAGTGCTAGTGCTGTTCCAGGTGCTAAAAAGTAGAAAATTTTAAATTGGAGCTTCTTTAAAGTAGAGTTTTCAACTTAGTTATCAACTAGATATCAACTTAGTTATCAACATAGTTATCAACTAGATAACTATGTTATCTAGTTCTGAAAACAGATTTCTTTTAACTACTGGCTGTCAGATTTCCTAGAGCAAAGCAGCTGTGTCTGCTAATATAATGTAATATAGTACAGTATAATATAATATAACAATATAATGTATAATATCTGCTAATATGTAAATATGATGTGATGATACTTCACATGATTGAGAACTTAACACTTAAATAATTGTCTCTATTAACATGGAATTTCATTTCATTCATGTCATACAAATAGGTCAGATTAAATTCTCTGTATATCATTTGATTATAGCATTAAAGCCTTTGTTGTTCACAAGGCTTAGTTATCCATACCTAACTTTTTTTTTTTTTTATGTGAGGAAGATCAGCCCTAAGCTAACATCCATGTTAACCCTCCTCTTTTTGCTGAGGAAGACCGGCTCTGAGCTAACATCTATTGCCAATCCTCCTCCTTTTTTTTTTCCCCAAAGCCCCAGTAGATAGTTGTATGTCATAGTTGCACATCTTTCTAGTTGCCGTATGTGGGACGCGGCCTCAGCATGGCTGGAGAAGTGGTGCGTCGGTGCGCGCCCGGGATCCGAACCCGGGCCGCCAGTAGCGGAGCGCGCGCACTTAACCACTAAGCCGCGGGGCCGGCCCCTAACTTTTTTTAAAACCACTTTATTGAGGTATTATTGACATACGAAAGGCAATATATGTTTAGTGTATACAACTTGATGAGTTTGGAGATAAGTATACACCCATGAAACCATCACCACAATCTATGCCATAAACATAAGCATCACCTGCAAAAGTTTCCTCCCACCCTCTTTATTTATTATTATTATTTGTGTGATAAGAACACTTAACATATAATATCTACTCTTTTAGCAAATTTTTAAGTACACAGTACAGTATTGTTAACTATAGGCTCTATGCTGTGCAGTAGCTCTCTAGAACTTGTTCATCTTGCATAACTGAAGCTTCGTACCCTTTGACTAATACTTCCCCATTTCCCCCTCCCCCTAGTCCCTGGCAACCTCCATTCTCCTCTCTGCTTCTATGAGTTTGACTATTTTAGATTCATCATGTAAGTGGTATCATGCAATATTTGTCCTTCTGTGTCTGGCTTATTTCACTTAGCATGATGTCCTCCAGGTTCATCCATGCTGTCACAAATGGCAAGATTGCCTTCTTTTTTAAGTCAATGCCTGACTTTAAATAGAATCAAGGAGAAAATTAATAACAAAACTGACATTTTCAAAATGGTAATTTGTTTCTCCTGAGGTGCCAGTGCAGGGACACACATCCCCAGAGGGCAGGGGGAAGGCCTGAGACACCCAACCCGAGGGAATCGCAGGAGCCCTGCTAGCCGGGTGCCAGGAGTATGAGTGGAGGTGGCTCTAGACACATGCCCTGGTTGTACCCACCCTGACTCCTCCCAGCTGCCGATTCCTCCTGCCTCTCACTCTCCCCTAGAAGTGGAGCCCTTTAAGTCTCTGTACCTTTCGGAGAAGATCCTCCTCCGGCTCTTGAAACATCCAAATGTGATCCAGGAGTTGAAGTTTGATGAGAAGAACAAGAAGGCTCCAGAACACTACATCTACCAGCGCAACCGCCCTGTGGACTACTTTGTGCTGCTTCTGCAGGTGAGTAGGAAAGCCAGGGACCCTCTAAGGGCAAGATGAGGGCATCTCCATCCTGGAGAGGAATGGCTGTGCGTCCTCAGTGCCAGGTTCCAAGACTCAGCTGGCTGCCTCGGGAGCAAGGCCAGTTGGGGTGGGCGTTTGTCCATGACCCGCAAAAGGGGCCAGGTGTGACTGGCTGATGTCCTGGGAATGGTGGGATGTTGATGGCATTTAGTCTGACATGAGCAGTGTTTGTGGTGGGGCAGTAGGGCGGGTGCTTCTCTAGCAGAGAGTTTCTGTGACCAAATTTCCACAACTGCTGTCCTACAGAATCCCTAATACCTCCTTGTCTCTGCTTGGACATGCCCAGAAATGGAACAGTCCACTGCCTCCCAAACTTTAGATACTTCTTGTTTAAAGCCCTTCCCTCTGTCAAGCTGAAATCTCACCATCTCTGACTTCCACCCACTGGTCCTTGCTCTGCTCTCTGGAGGTACACAGACCACATCCATTCTCTCTGCCACGTTTCAGCCTTTGCAGTCCCTTGAATCTTCTTCCCCTTGAGAGGACCAGGAAGGGAATAAATCACAGAGTGAAAAATGTGCAGCATCTTTTTGGTACTCACTTAAGTACGATCACCTTCTGCCCTGGGTGCCTGGATAAGCCTGTTGTAAGTAAGTGTCAGGCATGATTCCAGCTTGTGACACTGCTGGTGCCCTGGCCTGGCTCCACCATTAGCTCTGTCACTATTCCCTGTCTCTTCCCAACAGAATCTTATGAAGCCTAAATACAGCAATTGTCTTAAAATCTTACTTAAGCTTGCATTAACTTAGAAGTGGCCTCTCTTTGTTACAGTCCACCTGCAGCCTGTCTGCTCTGACACTGCTGAGTGCCCACACTCATCCTTCCAAATAGCCTCCATAAAATGACCTCCCTTCTCCAAAAATGGAGTCACATTCTCCACTATTGGAAATCGAGAAGAGTCCTGTTACCTTGTTTATATAACATAATGAACCCATACAATCTGCTGTCTTATGCTTAATGTAAACTTAACTGTTTTCAAATAAAACTTGAAGGAAGTAAAATGTAGTGGCAAGAGTGTAAGTTCAGAAATTGGAAAGATCTGGCTTTAAAATTCCAGTATTGCTGCTTCCTAACCAACCTTGACCAAGTTATTTAACCTCTGTGAGCCTCAAAATTGATTCATCTGTAAACTAGGGATAGAAGCAATATGGGCCTCATAGAGTTGTGGGACCGATTGAATGAGAACCCATGCAGTGCACGTAACACAGTGTCAGGCCCATAGACGTACACTATCTGATACCCATTAGTATCATTATTATTGCTGATGAATTAAACAAGCTTTACACAGAATCAGATTTTATCTCAACCAGACTTAAAGATGGTCTAATCTCAGACTAAACCAGTGGGGCACTTTACAGGGGCCCAGGCTAGCTGGTGCCTGGACCTGCATCATGGAGAGGCCATTATAGTATGCAAGGACATCTTGGTTATTCATGACTGGATGCTGCTTTATGAACTAAGCAATTAATTTACTGCGAAGGTTACTGAAGTGAGAGGTGCTGTTTCTGAAACGTTAAGTCTGGACAGAATTCACATTCTGCTGTGATAGGAACTTAAGTCCATTTGTTATCCAGGCAGAAGTGCTTAGGGTTGTAGTCAATAATAGAGCTGGAGGTGCTTGTACACACTCTTAGTACACTTCCTTCTTTCTCCAGGGTAAAGTGGAGGTGGAGGTTGGTAAGGAAGGCCTTCGCTTTGAGAACGGAGCCTTCACCTACTATGGTGTCCCAGCCATCATGACCACTGCTTGCTCAGGTATTCCAGTTCCCGAGCCATAGCTTATTGGGGAGGCAATGGAATATTGTAGGGAAAAAAAGCATCTGGGTTCAAATCTTGACTCTTGTTAGGGACTCTGGACAAGCCATTTAACTTCCTGGGCTTTAGTTTCCTCCTTTGTAAAACGGGTATGAGAATCATTGTTCATTCAGAGAGATTTTTTGTGGAAGTTCATGGTGAACTGTAACATTATTATGTGTTAGGGATGGATAGTGGTATTTTTCAGTATGAAAAGACAAGTTTATTTTGCTTTTTACACTTCCATTTGATTGCCTGGTTTTTACAGGGTTAATTGGGGCTGAGGGTGGGGTGGAAGAGGGAGAATTCCCATAAGTAGGTGTGTTTTCTGAATTGCCTCTGAAACACATTGCATCCTTCTGTGCTTAGATAACGACGTGCGAAAGGTTGGAAGTCTGGCTGGATCCTGTGTCTTTCGTATGTATCTCTCAAACCCTTCCCTCATCCTCCCCATTGTAGTCCTGCCTCAGCCCATGCTGGGGACCTGGGCTGAGCACTCTGAACCTGGGCTGGGGCTAACACAAATGCTGGCAGACTCTTTGTAATGCTCTGCCAGGAACACTGCTTCCTGTCAGGTACCCACAGACCATGGGGGCTTAGTTTCTGTGTGTCTGGAATGTTTTCTGCTGCTTCCCTGCTCACATGCAAGTGATGAATGGCGGGGAGGGAGGCTGTGAGGGGAGGCACTGTTTATTGTCACCTGCCAGGGAATGCAGGCAGGTGATTTGTGCAGTCTGGTGGAAGTTCAGCCTTTCCTTCTCTGCTATGATAATTCACCCACTGGCCTTCTCTCAAAAACCTAATATGCTACTATGTGTGTGTGGGGTTAGTAAGAAGTGACTGCAAGATCTTGGGATATATGTCCCAGGCTGGTGCAGTATGTTGCTTATCTGCTTCTCTTTCCTCGTTTACCACATCTTAGCTGGTGGAGAGGTGTCTGCCAGCTGGCCGTGCATGCTAATGGTGGGGGCTGGCACAGGGCTGCTGGCTGGATTGCTGTGCCCCTTCTGTGCTCTAGCTTCTCACAGTTTCCTGCATAGTTACTGCACTTGCGTTTAGAAGGCATGGCATTTATTGTGACATAAGTGTGATCCAGAAAGAATGATTTTCCTAGATTTCTTTTTGATTCACTGGTCTGAATTTTGCATTGTTTTGAGCTGTTAGTGTTTATGGTGGCCGTTTTAATGCCAAAAGGGGTGTTTTCTCTCAGCATAAAAAAGATTTTACATCGTGTTTTATATTGGGATTGATCAGAAGGTCCCAAAGCTTGATATCACAGTCCCTCACACATGAAAGGTAGATATCATTTTAACACAGAGAAACTAAAGAAATGACTTGCTCCAAATCACCCAGCAAGTTGGTGACTTAACTGGATGCATTCCAGTGCCCTGACTAGTTCACACAGCACAAAGAAATACAGATTTGTGATCCATCATGTTCCAGAATGCAATTGCTATGTGGGAATATTAGAATAATTTACACTGTAATTTCACATTGTAGCCCAGCAGAGGGCTGAAATGAAATTGAAATAGTGCCCACACCCAAGGGGTGGCCCAACATGAATTGAAGGAGATCTGTAAAATAGAAACCCTGGTATGTTAGTATACTTATATAAGCCAACAAATCTCAATTAGGGTTGATGAAGGAAGCATCAGTACTCAGTACAAGAACTCTGGACAGGAGAGGGATGGGCTACAGGACTGGGTCAACCTTGGTTCTTTAAGGAGATTTCCATCCTCACATTAGAGATTGCTCAAGGTGAGTAACTCCTGGGATTCTAAATGTTTCCTAGACATGTTGGCCGTGTTCTAGCCCTTCCAGAAGACCAAAAGGAAGAGGAGGGAACTCTGGCGGAAAGAGCTACATAAGGCTCCCCAGCCCACCTAATTTAGATGACCTTCTTTCTTTTAAAAAAAAACACTATTTTTTAAGTAGTAGGAAGATGTTATCTAGTTTCCTCCTTTTCTTCCCTCCTGTCTCTAATTCTTTCTATCAAAATCCTTTCATTTTATCAGTGAGAGAAGAGTAAACTTGCAACACTGATCTCTCCTTCAAAACTGGTTAACTAAAAGGAAGCACTAAATTCTCTTTCCCTTCCCATTCAGAGGATCTTGATCAATCTTCGGGAGGAAAAAGATCTTGAATTAGCCTGTAGGGGTATGGAGACGTTTTCCATCCTCCCCCAAGCCCTCACCACTTAGTGGGGTGAAGTGTGAAGTAACTGTAAAGGCCACCACACCCTATGGTTGTCCCTGGTGGACTCTCAGCCCAGGTCCAGCCACCCAGCATCTTTCACCGGCCAAGAACCTCAGCCTGTAGGTTGAGGGAGGGCATAAGTCTAAACCACAAGGCAGTAAACTCTTGTAGGATCTTGGTCTAGCAAACTACCCCTGTCCTTGAAGCCAGACTTTAGCTTTATCAACCTTTGAGGGTGATAACTGGGGTGACGAATTTGCTAGAACACTGGCCCTGTGACCGATGCCTCAAAGTTGAACTTGAGGTTACAAGTAAGTCACTGTGATTTCCTGAGCAGGGCTAAGGGAACACAGCCAGCACTGTCTCCTTTATCTTGGTTCTGATTGCCGGAAAACCCTGGAGGACCCTGGTGCACCTGGCACTCTGGAGGCACTGGGCCTGAGCTCAGGGTAGCCGGAATAGTTGCTCACAGGGCTGTACAGATGGGGAGAGAACAAGTCTTCTGTCACTTGGCAGGATATACATTTAATTTGTAGCCCAGAAGTGCTAGGATTCTTCTTGAGAATGTGGAGTTTCTTATTCCAGTGTGTCTCACAAAATTAGGGACCCATTCAAATATTCTTTGACATCTCTTGTCAAAGTAAATGATTATCAGGTAGGAATAAAGCACCCCCAACTCCCCTCTATGTCTGGGTAGTTTCAGTAAAATCCTCTGGTGCAGCGAATAAGACTGCGGAAGCTGCCTATTTCAGTGTGCTGTCACCTGCACACTGACTTCATTTAGCTCCTTGGAAAGGACTCTGGGAATGATCAGACAAGAGAGATGAAGACAGATTCTCATGCCAAACACCACTTCATCAGAGTCAAGATGGGAGAAGGACTGGAGTATTGCTATGCACTTCACCCTGCCCCAGGCCACAAGTGATTGTCAGCACCATTTCAGACTCTCTGGGGAAGGAGAGAGCAGGAAAAGGGGATAGGAAGAGAGGTGCTTGGGAGCACTTGAACTTGCTAAGAAGTGACTTTGGTTTAAATCATCAAGTTGATTCACATTAAGATTGCTAGAAATGCTGCCCTTCCTGTGTCCCGAGCCTCTAGCAATGCACAGTTTCTCCCCAGCACTGTGACCACAGAGGGAATTCCTAGGAGTCTGAGGCGGGATACGGCCTCCTCAAGGATGCCCCTAGCAGGAGCATGCACTCTGCTTTCAGCCCTCCAGCAGGTGAGCAGGATACATGTGGCACCTGGGAGAGCCTGAAGGGAATGCAGTGCTGGGCTCCCAGCGTATCTGCTGGCTCAAAAAGTCTGCCTCAGAGAGAACGCTGCCTACACGCGCTCCCCACGGGGCACTGCCTGTTCTAGTCATTGGCAGGTCTGATTCCCTCTAAGATGATTGCACATCTCTTTGGACGACCTTCAGCAAAGTCTGTTTTATTTTCCTCTTTCTGGAGAGTGACTTTGTAAGAGGATGTGATTTCCATGTTTTCAGAGAAAAGATTCCCTTTTGCAGAGAAATGTGATATTGTGAAGATCCAGGAACAGACTGTCTCACCCACTTTGCTCTTTGTCTCTCTCCTTTTGTGTTTATCTTCCCCTTGCAACTCACAACTCCTTGGCCCTTGACTCTTTAGTGCCTGTCTCTGTGTCTCGTACCTTCGCCTTCAGCAGAGGGGACTCTCTGGCAGGCTCCCCAGGTAAACATGCATGGGTGTCTCGGTCTCCATAGATCCAGTGGGGTTCGCAAGAGGCCTTTGGTCTCTGTCACTGTCCCGCATGAGAACTAGTCTCTCCCAGCAGGCACTCCCATGACTAGGGCATAGCACATTGTGCAAATAACACTCATTTGCACACACAACCCAGGCATTGCTGGTCCAGTGCCATCACTGTGAATTTAGCTCCCAGGGATGTACCTGTGTATGTACATAGAGAAATAGTGGGGGTAAGGGATGGTGTGAGTTCTTCCTCATCATTTGTCTGACTGCAGAATGGAGGGATGAGGAGTGCAGCAGGAGAAAAATAGAAAGAAACAATGGAATGTTATGCTTTATTCCTATTTTTCCTCCACCTTTCCTTCTATGTGGTCTCTGCCTTTAGCCAACCACTAACCCACCCTCATCTTTCTAGTTATGTTACTATGTGGTGACCATATTCCCTCTGGCTCTGGTCATACAAAGGATGCTGTACGTAAAAATTTCAAAATAATGTTTCATTAGGTTAACTTCTCTTGTTAGTTAAATAAAAGTTACTGGGTTTCTTTTTAATCAGGTTAAGCAGCTCCTCATAGAGCTATATAGTAATCCAAGGATTGAGTAGAATGCAATAAATCTGAACCATCAGTTAACTGTTCGCATTGAATCAGTTAACTGTTCACATTGTTTTCATCTCTTAGGCTCATGGAGCAAGTAATGCCCTCAAGTTAGAACACAGTCCAATTTCCTATACCGTCTGTGTCTCTCTTCCTTATTCCACTGCTACGATAATGATTCTGAGCCCCCACCATATCCTCAGTCATAAAGAATCCAGCCATGTTTCACTGTCTGTGCAGTAGACCCTCAACATTCAAAAAGGCTGTGTCCTGAGACCTCAAGCCCCCAAGTTTGCAACTTCAGAAGTATTTATGTTGACTTCTACTTTCTACCAAATCACATTTTTCCATCAAAACCCATCTGATTCCCATGTTTAGAGGTACAAGACAAATTAACCACCTTCTCGAATTTTACCAAAATTTTCTCTCTCACTTGATGGTGATTTTCCACCATGAAATAAAATTTTTCTTGCTTCGTGAGAGCTCGTGCCTTCATGATGACTACAGGACAGAGCGATCAATGTGAGATGCCAAGCTGGTGCACACACACACCCCGCCCCCACAGCTAACTGGTCTACTCCTGCATGCGAGCAAAATTAGAAATGACCATATCATGGACCTTCAGGATCCTTCGCATGGGGGGAATCTTGGTAAACGTACAGTGTGCTATGAAGGTTCAGCAGAAATGAAAAATGCACATTTTAAAAAGATGTTCAAACGAAAGGATCAAAGCAGGAGTATATTTTCCTTTTTAATTAACCCTCAAGTTAACCAGACAACCGAGTTAATTGTAATTTCCCAGCTAAAGGAAGGCTGATTCTAGTTCATTAATATTTATTATGAGAAACTTCATGGCAACCCAGTGTCAGACAAGATTAAAGTGACTCATTCGTGCTGTACCATTCCCCAGGAGGTA